AATTACCATCTTTGAAATTCCTCTTACGAAAGAAAAATATCCATTTGCTACCCTTTTTAAGCCTGTTGATTTTTCTTTCTGAACCTAAAACAAGAATAATCTTCCAAATTTGGGGGCAAGTTCAAAAAAAGAGATCACATTAAAGGGTCATTTGAATCTTATGTTTAGAGGCTAGGAAATAACGGGGCAGTTTGAAATAAAATCATGCAAAAAAAAAAAAAGAAAGAAAAAGATGAAAATGTATGTTTAGAGGAAAAGGAAGTGTCATTTGACAAAAAATGATTTTTGATTCAACTACCCTTAAATATATATATTTTGACCTATTTATCTTTTCTTTCAAAACCTTAAACCCTAACCTACGTTTCATCCTATAAAAAGTCCGTTATATGGATACCGAAGTTCGAAGGCTTGTTCCTTAATAAAATCATCAATTTGATTTTAAATGAATTTTGAGTGCTCAAATAAATGGTATAATAATCATAAGACTCGGGGGTGAAACCCCAAAAAAGTAATCTAGAACAAAAGTGAAAATTTGAAAGCAACTTATGAAATTGATTGATGCAATAAGTATTAGGTAAAGGCATTTTTTAATGAACCTCAATGCATTGAAAACTTTAATTAACCTTATTTTGAAGAATTGTTCTTAAATCTGAACTTTTTGTTTATTTTCCAAGCTTGGAGCCTTGGATGACCAATATTGGCATTTATTAAATTACTATATATCAAGAATTTAAAATAATGCCAAAATATATTGTACTTTAAAAGATCATCTTCGTTGGTGAGCCTAAATGAAGAGACATTGATATTTTCTTTCTCCTTCAATGGCCAACCCTTTGATAACTAAGATCATGATGTGCCAAACCATTGCATCCTTTTTGAAATACCAAGTTGTAGTTCATCACATTCATTCTAAATAGTAATCACCAGTTTTAAGAGATCTTATCACATGTGGAAAATCAATTTATTTTTTTTAAAAAAATAGTAGTGTGGGGCAATTTTCATTACCATTTTTGAAAATTTTAGGAAATGTTCAAGAATGATTTTAATACAAGTGGTCTTTTTGAGGCAAGGTGAATGCCAAAAGTGAAAGACCACTAGTGAGAAAGATGGCTTTTGAGTAAAGAAAAATTTAAGAATGTTTGCTTCAGTTTGTGAAAGAATTCATCAGCTAGTCTAAAGGCTATGTCATGGAAAGAAAGAAGGAAAAAAAAGGTTTTTTAGAATCATATTACCACAATTAAGAACATATCATATAAATTCATGCATTGCATTCAATGCATGCATTTCATGCATTTTATGCATCACATGTGTTGCATTCATTGTATATTCTTCAGGAGAAAAGTTATAGACTTAAAATTTTGATGAAAAAGAAAACTTTGATATGAAGATCAAAAGATTTTACTTCAGCGTACATTTGTTAAAACTTTTGAGTATCAATTTTAAAACTTTTGGGTAATACTTCTTAAAACCTCTAGGTACATCCTTTCAGTTTCAAAATACTCTTTTCAAAGTCTTTCGAATAAATCATTAAGTCCTTCAAGCACAATCTATAAGACCTCTAGGCATGATCCTTTTAAAACCTTCAAGTATTTTTCTAAAGTTGTGGAGCCCTCGTATGGAATGAGTTTTTTTGAAAAATTCAATTTGTAAGACCTTTGGGCACAATCACCAATTCCTCTGAGCATGATCTTTTTAAAATTTTTGGGTATCTTTCTAAATTTTAAAGTTATGGAGCCTTAGTGTGGAAGGAGTTTTTTTCAAAATTTGATTTATAAGATCTTCGAGCATAATCATCTAGTCTTTTAGGCATAATCTTCAAGTCTTACAAGTAGGATTTGTAAGTCTTTTGAACTAAATTTGTTTTAGAGTTGAGATTTGCAAAACCACCAAGCATAATCTCCAAGTCCTCTAGGCAGGATTTGTAATTCTTCCAAGCTAATTCTATTTTAGAATTAATATTAGTTGAGATTTGTAAGACCTCCGAGCATAATCTCTGAGTCCTTCGGGTAAGATTCGTAAGCCTTTTGAGCTGAATTTGTTTTAGAATTGAGATTTGTAAAACCTTCGGACATAATTTCCTAGTTCTTCAAACACAATCAATAAGGCCTCCGAGCATGATTGTCAAAACCTTCAAGTGTCATTCTTATTGTTTAAGTTGTGTGCCTCTATTTTTAAAGAGCTTGTCATTAAAAATATATATATATAAACAAAAAAAAGAAAAAAATTTAAAAAAAGTTGAATAATTTGACTCGAACATAATAGGTGGTCTATGCCTTTGCACAATTCATGTTGCACCGAAATACTCAAAGAAGAGCAACTGTAGACACTCTATTTAGTTTAAGGCCTAAAACCAATTGGGCTCAAACCTGATTTAAGCCCAATTACAAAATTTTATTTTATTTTAATTTTAGTTTTTTTGTTATCTATATTAATATATTTTTAAAATTTTTTACTTTATTATGTTGATTTATCTTTTTAATTAATTTATTTGTTTAGTTGTTTATCTAGGTTAAATGTTTTGTTTTGATTAGTTAAAAAAGAATATAAATAAACCAAAAAAGCTTGTTGATAAACCAGGAAACTTTAAAGTGATAATTCTTAGTTTCAAACTGAGTTTGAGCTTATCTAAAACTCTCTTATTTTGTCCTATAAATAAACACAAAAAATTACACAAAAACAAAGCAGATAAATGTAAAGAGCACAAAAAAACACAAGAAGCAATAGCAAAATTTACGTTAAACCACTAATGGTGGATCGAGGTCATTGGCAGCTTAAGGTGGTGGACATTTTCTTGATCATGCACAAAAAGGAAGATATGTTGCTAGTAAAAGAATTAGAGAAATACATTGTGTTACCAGTAAGACTAAATCAAACGACGGCATTGTTGGTCCAAAAAAAAAAGGATAAGGCTTTGCTAGTAGAGTGGTTGCTAGAAAATTCCTTACTACTTTGAATGGTGGAAAAACAATTGCGGGCAAATTCAAGTTGCAATGACACAAGTTTTAGGGAGAATGAGCGGTTGGTCTTATTTGTGTTGTTAGAAGAAAAAGAAGATAAAGAAAATAAGGTTGACTAGAGACAAATGACTTAGGCCAATTGACTTGGAAAGTGAAGAAATTGATTTAGCAATCACCCAATTGACTTGAACCAATTCTATTCCATAATCCCATTGGTTTAGATTCCTCTCCTAGTCCAAACTTTGGTATTTATTTTACTATTTATTTTTCTTATTTATTTTTAAGTATTAATTTATCTATTTTATCATGCATAGTCTTAGGCAATGTTTTAACTATTTGAACATAAAGTGTATATGTATATAGAAAAAATAAAAAATTCGAAATAGGTTTTAATGAAGTAAAAAGTATTATATAAAATTTTCAATATTAGTAATTGTGCCAAAGTTTAAATAATCCAACTTTATAAAATAAATTGAATAAAATCCAATGATAAAATTTTTAAAAATTACAAATAGATGACTTTTTAAGAAATTTTTAGGTGTGAGATTTTTTTTTCTAAAAGTGACTCAAATGGAGAAAAAATTTAGATAAAATTTCAATAATAATAATTAGTATTTATTTTCAAAATTACAAAAAATATATAAAAATAAATTTAATAAAATTTTTGGAAATGGAATTAACAATTATTCTAATGATGAGATTTCTAAAAATTTCAATTAGTAAATTTTCTAAGAAATCTCTAGGCGAGGAATTTCTCTAAATTTAACCTAAAATGTGAAATAATTTAGACAAAATTTTAATAAAAGTAATTGCATTCTTTTCTAAATTAAGAAGTAAAAACATAACTTGTAAATATGTTTGAAAATGTATGACAGTTATCCAATGATGAAATTTCAAGGAAAATCACAAATGGTTGAATTTCTAAGAAATCTCTATGTGAAAGTGTTTTTAAATTCAATCAAAATGGTGGAAGAATTTAGATAAGACCTCAAAAAAATAATTGTTATAATATAGTTTTTTTTTAAAATGATGAATAAATAGAGATTGAATTTTAGGAAAGATAGTTCTAAATTTGATCCAAAATAGTAGAAATTTAGAAACGAAGCTTGTAAAATACTTTTAAATTTGATTCAAATGGTGAAAAATTTAGAGATAAAAAATAAGATTCGATGATAAAATTCTTAATAATGGCAAATTGATGATTATTTAAAAAATTTTTAGGTAAAAAAGTATTTCTAATTTTTGTCCAAATGGTAAAAGAATTAGATATATTTTCAATATAGTAAAATTTAATAAATGATTAAATCCTTGTCCGATGATAAAGTCTCTTCAAAAAAACAAATGAGATTTTTAAATATTCGTAAAATGAAAAAAAAAATTTAGAATTATGATAAATTGATTAAGAAATCTTAAAAATTATTTTTAATATTTAAACATTAAAATTTAATAAAAGATCATTAAAACCAAAGATATTTAGGATAATTTAAAATTAAATAGTAACATCTCTAAATGGGTTTTGTAAAGATGTTATAATTTTTTCTATATATAAATAAACTCTCGAATCTCATTTTAATTAATAGATTGAAACTTATTCTTTAGAGACTTTTAGTCAAATTTAAAATATTCTCAAATGAATAGACTAATTAAATGATCAATTATATCTAAAAAAAATATTGATGATGACTTATTAAATTTATATTTAATGATAAATTTACAGTTTTATATATTATTATAAATTATCTTATTAAAAAGCATTAATTATATATATACAGACACTTCCAAAAAAAAATTGCAAGGTAAAAAACAGGAAAGAAAGAAAAATTATGGCCGATGTTATTCTTTCTAATCTTGATCGAGGTAGAAAGAGGATTAACAACATGAGTTTCTGGTTAAAAATCTAAAGAGAGGAAGATGAACCGCGTTTTTTTGAGAAACGTAGACTTTGATCGATGATAATAACGCCATGTCATGCGAGATAAATAATAATTTTCATAATTATATGTCAAGTCAAGAAGTATAAATATTTGAAACAGTCAATTCATTTTTATTATTCAATGCTAGTGTAAAACAATTATGAAATAAACATGAGTGTTATTTATTTTATTTACAGACTCAACACTCACAGGACAGATGCTAATTTTAAACGAAGAAGGGGCAGGACAATACTCAAACGTACAGGAAATAAAGCAGAAACAATTCTGTTTCCCTAGTTCGGTTGAGTGCAATCTCGACGAATTTCACCTTTATTTCCTGCCAAAACACCTACTTGGCCTAGCTTGGTAACAGCAGTCACGAAAGCATTTTGAAAAGCTGCATTGCTTGAAGCAAAAAGATTGACAGTGCTTCTTGATCTCGGATCTGTAAATAGTGTCTGATCAGAGGTGAAGAGACCCATTCCTTGCTGAAGATTCTTGAAGTAGGCATTGTCGAATGTCCGAGGTGTCATTGGATCCATGTCGATGGCAGTTCTTGGGTCAACGTTTATTGGGCACATTTGTCTAAGCTGCAAAGCGTATGCAGAGTTAAGACTAGGATCGATCCTGTTCCTCGGGCTAAAGTTGTAGATTCGGTTGGAGAAACGCCCACAATGGGAGAATCCTATGGTGTGTGCACCTGACCCAAACATTTTCATGGATAATGATAAGCACTATTACTACATATTTATGAGAAACGTTAAAACTATCGGAAAAAAATTATATATGTACTCTGGAATCAGTTTGATAATTTACAAAATTAAGAAAGATTGCTCTTATTGTTGAATTTTATCATGTCCATTGTCAATAGCAATGTGATCTCTGAATTCTTAGTTTGAATAATTAAAGTTTAATATCGAACAATTGAGAACTATATTCAATCCATTTAGACTTCAATCCATCTAGAATGTTATTTCTCATTTCCCTTACCCTTACGATTGTAACCGTGCATGCGTCCAATAATGCCAAATCTAGCCAGAACTATATGAGAGGTGAAAATTGGCATCCCCAATCAATAAAGATTGGATAGTATAAAATTCTATAAAATTGTTAGTAACAAAAGCAAGAAAATGAAGGGTGAATTAATATATATACCTGATAATGCTATCATATCGGTCTGAGTGAGACCATGTCTGGCAAACATAGAATTGAGCTGGTCTAAGTTAAAATTAGGGTGAGGAAGCTGGTTTTGAACACTGGCTTTTGTGGATATCCTCCCGTCACGCCTTCCCAATTCCACTTTATAAAACGGTCCTTCCGTCTGAGTCAATATTTCAAAATAATTAATTATAAGCAAAATGAAACCTCTTCCGATACATATGGAAAGAATGTCTACCAATTGTATGACATCTCTAGTGGCAAGGGCTAGGATGTCTGCACATGAGACTTTGTTTCTGCACTGAGGATTACTGTCAAGAGCCGCCTTTGCTTTGATTTCACTGTTCGTCAATCAGCGATGTCATCCAGCTTCATTAGCCGATGATCAATTGTCATCGGGTGATCAACTTCGAATCCACGTGCTTCCATTAGTCGATGATAATCCAGGTTCACATGCACGAAGACCCTTTGACCTCACGGTTTTGTCCTACAAAAAGTACCTCACAAGACGAAGTTGGTGTGAACCCTTATATACCCCAGTGACCCTCTTGTTATGTTCGATGTGGGATTCAGGACTCCCCCTTAGGTCCATGGCATTCTTCCGCACCCAACCTCGTGATGCCCTCGTCACGGAGGCTGGTTACCCTGCCTACCTCCCTCGAGGTGCTTGGCGTGGATCGAAGGTTTAAGACTGGCTCTGATACCACTTGTCACGGGTCGAGACTCAAGCTCCAAACCCCCCGGCTCCGAGATCCGGGCATTCACCATTCCGGCGTCCCAAATCAGTCTTCTTGCCACGGTTCACACCCTTGTGAGGTATTATCCGCTCTGGCCCCCCTGGCCTCACGGTTGTCCTACAAAATGTGCCTCACAAGGAAGAGATGGTGTGAACCGTGACAGGAAGGCTAATATGGGACGTCGGAAGGGTGAATGCCCGGGTCCCGGAGCCGCGCGGGTTTGGAGCTTGAGTCTCAACCCGTGACAAGTGGTATCAGAGCCAGCCCTAAACCGTTCGATGCACGCCAAGCACCTCGAGGGAGGTAGGCAGGGTGGCCAGCCTCCGTGACGAGAGCGTCACGAGGTTGGGTGCGGGAGAATGTCACGGACCTAAGGGAAAGTCCTGAATCCCACATCGAACATAATAAGAGGGTCACTGGGGTATATAAGGGTTCACACCACCTCCGTTTTGTGAGGCACCTTTTGTAGGACAAAACCGTGAGGCCAAAGGGGTCAGAGCGAACAATACCTCACAAGGGTGTGAACCGTGGCGGAAGGCTGATCTGAGACGCTGGAAGGGTGAATGCTCGGGTCCCGGAGCCGCGCGGGTTCGGAGCTTAAGTCTCGACCCGTGACAAGTGGTATCAGAGCCAGCCCTAAACCGTTCGATCCACTCCAAGCACCTCGAGGGAGGTAGGCAGAGTGGCCAGCCTCCGTGACGAGGGCATCACGAGGTTGGGTGCGAAAGAATGTCACGGACCTAAGGGGGAGTCTTGAATCCCACATCGAACATAATAGGAGGGTCACTGGGGTATATAAGGGTTCACACCACCTCCGCCTTGTGAGGCACCTTTTGTAGGATAGAACCGTGAGGCTAGGGGGGTCAGAGCGGACAATACCTCACAAGGGTGTGAATCGTGACAGGAAAGCTGATCTGAGACGCCGGAAGGGTGAATGCCTGGGTCCCGGAGCTGTGCGGGTTCGGAGCTTAAGTCTCGACCCGTGACAAGTGCCAACTTCCGTGACGAGGGCGTCACGAGGTTGGGTGCAGGAGAATGTCACGGACCTAAAGGAGAGTCCTGAATCTCACATCGAACATAATAGGAGGGTCACTGGGGTATAAAAGGGTTCACACCATTTCCGTCTTGTGAGGCGCCTTTTGTAGGACAAAACCGTGAGGTCAGGGAGGCCAGAGCGAACAATACCTCACAAGGGTGTGAACCGTGGCGGTCAGGCTGATCCGGGACGTCGGAAGGGTGAATACCTGGGTCCTAGAGCTACGCGGATTCGGAGCTTAAGTCTCGACCCGTGACAAGTGGTATCAGAGCCAACCCTAAACCGTTCGATCCACGCCGAGCGCCTCAAGGGAGGTAGGCAGGGTGGTCAGCTTCCGTGACGAGGACGTCACGAGGTTGGGTGCGGGAGAATGTCATGGACCTAAGAGGGAGTCCTGAATCCCACATCGAACATAATAGAAGAGTCACTGGAGTATAAAAGGGTTCACATCATTTTCGTCTTGTGAGGTGCCTTTTGTATGACAAAATCGTGAGGTAAGGGGGGCCAGAGTGGATAATATCTCACAAAAGTATAAACCGTGGCGGTCAGGCTGATCCAAGACGTCGGAAGGGTGAATGTCCGAGTCCCGAAATCGCACGGATTCGAAGCTTAAGTCTCGACTCCTGACAGCATCACATCCCTATATACATATCCAAAAACCATCACCATATATCTAAATATAAGTCCAAAAATGACAAAATGAATAGAATCTTACACGAACAAAGCAATCATGGAAGAAGAGGCGAAGAGTTCCGGGAGCTGTGACAAAGGTTTGCTGAAACTTCGTTTGGACTGCGGAGCGGACAATGGACTCAACATTGGGGCATGTTGTTGCATAGAAGTCTGGTCTAAGCAGAGTCGTCTGAGCAGAAATGGTAGTGAATAAGAGCAGAGGAAGAATAATAAATGAGATAACAATTCTACTTTGTTTTCCATGGTGTAGCTACTGATCTGTCAGCTTTTTGTGTTCCTTCAAATTGGTGTTTTGTTGGTTCCCTTGCAATGTTATGTATTTATAGCAGAAACTAAAAGGAAATGATCATAAAGTGGAAGATGCTGACACGACTGCATATACACTCGGTCTGGCAGTTGATGAATGATAACGCTTTGAAGAATTATTATAATATTCTCACGCTCTCAAGCAGCTTAATTGCAAAAAATTTCATGTTTCCGAACTTCGCCAAATGTTTGAGTCTTGGAAAGTTTCAGGGTCAATTTCTTTTTTCCTTTTTTGCATCTGGGTTGGAAGGATAACATGCAAGTTTATGCAGATAATTGATTATATATATAATTGATTTTTATTTTAGTTGCTAGATATACTCTGCCAACTCAACTACATGTTAGTGCCCAACAACTCTCAAAGAAGTATCTTTCTTCCAAAGTCCAATCGAAAAGCGTCCTTTAGAAAATGACAAGAGACACAGAAAAAAATTCCAACTTCTTTTCCTTTGCGTTGTTTAATTTTATCTTTGATGATAGACTAATCAATGTTGGTAATTATTCCTATTTTTATATAACTTTGGTACACAAGGAATTGAAAACAATGCTACTTTTTAGAATCCTTATTCAACCTTCCAGTCATTCTTGTATTAGGCCAGGCTTATTTAAGTTAAATATTGTGAAGTTTTATGTTAAAATTGATTTGAGAGTTTAGATTTTTTTTTTTTTTTAATTCAAAGTTATCAATCAGTGAGGAAAAAATCTTGACTTCAGCATTTCAGGCAACTTGAGTGCATCATCATCACTTGGCAGCTGTATATGAATTGTGAAGGTTAGTGTATTATATATTAATCGCTAATAAGTGATAAAGTTGAGAAGCTACTAATTTTATAAAGAGTTTTTAAGATTAGAGAGAATAGCAAGTCAATGAGCACAACAGAATTCAGGGTTTATTTTCATGACTATGATTAATTGTCAATATTATCTGTATATATACATATATATATAAAAGTACATTTGACTAAATATCTAAGTTGCAATGGCACAATCATAATCCAATTAGACTTCAATGAAATTCATAAAGTACAATCATTCTCACATGCTTAACGCCATTTTATAAGCCCTGTTTTCGTTATCAATAATACATTACTACTTCGTCGGCATATACTGTGGGCTGTATTGATGCTTGGATATGGAAAAAAAGTAAGTTTCTGGTATCAAAGGCTCTTCAAATGTCTACAATATTTTTTTAAAAAAAATTTCTTGAGATTTCTCAAAATTTTTAGATAAATTCTTATTTTTCTCTTGTATCCCACATTAAATTTTTCAAGTACTTTTTTTTGTTTAATCCAATATTTATTTGCATGAAAAACCATTAAAATTCATAATTTTTACCACCTTAGTCTCCTTATGACCATCATTTTATCAGTGTCCAGATGGCACATATATAACAAAATAAGTTAAAAACTTTTTCCACTATTTAAAAATAATGTATTCAATTTAGAACAATTATTAATTAATGCATATTAAAGTAAATATATCAATGAGATTTAATGTAAAAAAATAAAAATTAATTAAAAATATTTGAATAAATTGTAATTTTAAACTCACTTCAACTTGCGCTAATCAGAAATCTTACAACTACTTTAAGATGTAGTGACCATCTCCATTATTTTTTAAATTCACTTCAATATGCAATTTTAAATTTTATCACTTTATTAACAAATCGCATTATTACTCCAACTAAAAATTTAATTTTCTAATATATATTTTTCCATCCCAAGTTGTTTGAATATTATTAATTTTCAACAAATTTAAGAAAATAATTATGACTTTAATGTATTTAATATTAATTTTTTTATAAAATTAAAATTTCATAATTTTTAATATCAAAAAGTAAAAAAAAAAAAACATAAAATATAATTTTAAAATATAAAAGTAATAAATGTTTAAAAAAGACAATTTTGAAGAAAAAAAAAAAAAAAAGAGAAGAGATACAGGAGGAGTAACACTTTATTAATTAACAGACTGCACTTATCACTTGAATTAAAAGTTTATTACTCTAAGAACATAACACACTTCAGCGTGCACATCAATATGCTCTAATCAGCTTAATTGATATTCTCCCCGTAATTTAGCTTTCAAGGTTTCTAAAGTTGGCTTTGGGAATCTCAACTTTGCTAAAAGTAATCCAAGCTTATATATAAATTCATGAAAAAATTAAAAATAGAAAATATCTTTTAAAAATATAAAAGAAATTAAATATAATTCATTGTTTTCATATAATAAATTACATGTAGTTAGTAATAACATATACTGCTTTCTTCTAAACTAAATTTTAACAGACATTTTGACCATTATATCCTGATTAATGTCATAAATAATACCTAAATTTTAACCTCTAACATAACTAACTCTAACATAATTAACTACAAATGACAACACGTGACAAATAATCAACCCTCCAAATACCATATTAATTAATAAATCTTTAATTCAAATGCATTAAAAATTTTTAAAATACAAATAACATATTGAATATCTCATTATAATTTAGATATTATGACATTAATTTTATTCCTTTTATTCCTTTCTTTTTACTCTAAATTTTCCACAACCATAATTGAGTATTGTTTAGAAATTTGACTCCAAAAAAAAAAAAAAAGATGAAATAATCCAACACAATTTAATTAGTAGATTCTCACAATGCCTGAGCGGCTGTTCAATTCACAGGACAGACATAGCTGATCCACAGCTGGAATACATACCATTCTTCAACATCAGCAAGAATCAAAACGATATAATAATAATAGTAATTGCTCCCTTCGGTTTATGAAAAGTAAATATAATAGCAGGTAAGGAACAACATACTTGGGCACAAGAGGAGGCTCCAATGAAAAACATGCAATTTCACATCATATACCAGCAATTCTATTTTAAGCTTTGTTTGGTTCACTTGACACTCCCCAAATATTATCCTCCATTTGTATTTTGGTTGAAAAACAATCATCTTTGGAAGCAAACATTATTGGACAATGTCCTAGCTACTCATGTATCCATCCTTCAACCATCAAAAGTCCAGGATCCATCCACATGTTGCATTATAATCCTGCATGTAGATTCTATTAGAAATGACTTATTGCTTGATAGAAAAAGAGGTTCCATCAACTCAATTGTTGTAAGACTCAACACAACTAGTAAGCAAAACAGAAGCAATTGTAGCTAACACACAAGCAGCACTATCTCTGCTTATAAAACCAGATTAGGGTAATTTTAGCCGAGACAAATACTGCACTATTCTCTATTTCAAAAACAAGGGAAAAAAAATACTTTACATGTTTCCACTAATAAATGATATAAGAGCATATACATGCAAAAGAACAAAAAGAAACTAACTGCAAACAACCACAAAGCCAGAAATTATGCCCACTAAAGAAGAGAGATGTTATATGTATCCTTCAAGTTTTATTTCATTTTGTATGGTCAGAATGAAATACGTTCCATTCAATCACATCAAAGAAAAAGATCCAGTTGCATGTAGCAGCTTTGAAAGTTGACATTAATTTTCACAATTGAGGTTCACTTTCTACTTGGGTTTGAAAACCAAATTGGGGGGATGGGACAAAAAGAAAAAGGAAAAAGCATGGAAGTACCATAACAATATACTGTTGATATGGCACATGTATCAGGCCTTCATCAGAAATGCCAGAAAGATAACAGTAATGGCCAAAATCATTATATATTAGCCTATAAACAATTTACTATCTGATGTTTAAAAAAAAAATAGAATTTAAAGTACTGCATTTAAACATCCAGCATAAATAACCTGTACATAATAGTGACCACAGTAATGTGTCTTTCAGCTGCCCTGGAGGACTTTCTGAGGATCAAGTTGCCCACTACAATAACTAGAAGGAACAGCAGAAAGTTCTTGCCTTCCTCTCCATTCCTCACCGGGTTTCAATGTGATAGGTTTCTCAATAGCAGCAGCCTCCACACAGAGCATATGCTTGTATTCATCATCTCCAAAATCAGCCAAAGTCTTTGCCTTTTTATCCCAGGGATTCCACACCACTACATGCAAAAGAAATAAGAACATTAGTTACAATCATATATGCAAATATTTACAAGAGCTGGTAAAAAACTCAAGTCGAAGTTCACAATTCATTTCAAACATATACATCAGAAAAGAGAAAGTAGTTCCCACAACTAGTTGCAATCATCTAACAATAATCTATATATTAAAGGTTTTCATAGGTTGATAGAGATTGGTGGAAATGTCATACCCAGGTTAGATAACTCAAACTCACAGTCATAACTTATGTTAAAGTGGTCTTATGCATAAATAAAAGAAAAAGAAGTTCTCTATTATTTTTTTTAGCAAAGTAATTCCGCTACTATTAAGTAGCTCCTCTATTATAAAGTAGCAATGAACAACATGATAAAGCTTTATTTTCAAGTTCTGTGTAAATATGAAGTATTCTTGTCCATGTGCTTGAGAATATCAATAGAGATATTGCTTAAGCATAAGAAGCATCAGGCCCCATATACATAAAAGCAAGAATATCAAAATAAAAAAAATGAAAAAAGGTGGACAAAATAAATCTCACCAGCATCAGGGAGTCCATCTTTGCGTAATACGAAGGTTCTCTTCTTTTCATGATCCAGAATTGCAATTTTTGTAGGAGTACTGAGGTATATCTTGTCCAACTGTTTAACCACAATTAAAACTATGTAAACAGCAAATAACTTAAGTGTGAGTAAGATTGAAAGAAAAATGTCACCATGAACTCACTTCTGTTTCAAATGTTATTGCATCTCCCTGTTCAGTAAAACGCTCCCTGTTCTGTAAGTTATCCAGATAATCAAGTGTCTCTAATCCTTCCACACGGACTTCACTGAACAGAAAGCAATGAAGTCATTTTAAATCCTGATAATATGAGCTCATCCATTATACAATCATGACATTACACAAATATCCCTTAACATGTTCTACCATGAATTAGTTTTACAAGTTGAGGTGCAATACCATAGTAAAAGGGAAGAAACAAGCACCATTTAATTAGTGCGCACATCAATAATTAGCTAGATGAATTAATGAACTTCAAGATGGTTAAAAAAAAAAAAAAAAGCAAAAAGAATTTCAAAATGGTTAGCAGTTTACCATATGAATTTTAAACAACCTGTCAATAAAAGGCCTAAATTTTCACAGCAATAATGCTTGACAGATCATCTCAGTCAGACTCATGAACCAAAATTTATCCTAAACTCTAAAAATATCTGCTCTGAGAATAACACTATCAAAAATATTTGTATGAGATGGTTTTTTTAATTTTTGTATTAAATAGTGTTGCACAAGAGCATTAATTAATAAGGATAATGCAGTAAAAAAGGATTTGAGCGAAAGAAGGCAATAAACCTAGAGAAAACATGGGATAATAATCTTTAATGTAAGATTGGGACAGACAGATAAAAAAATTAATACTAATATATTTTGCTGGTTCAATTTAATTTAAGATTGCCTTTGCTCAATGGTCAAGGGTAAGCCTGTAATTTCAGATCTGAGTCATGGACAATAGCTGTAATGGTTGAAGAACTATGGGTTACAGCCAGAGGGGGCCAATCTATCATGAAAAGTAATTGTGGCTGTTGATGGGCAGGCAAAAGAACATCTGGTACTTTCACAATCAGGATCATGAGTGCACTGCAATCAGGATTGTCCAAACCAATACATGATTCAAAGAGAGGGGGGGGACAATTAGGGATGGAAAAACAAAGTTCCCATCTCCCATACAATAAATAACTAGCAGTTCAAAGGAAACCCAAACCATATAATTATTGATCAATGGCTCAAACACCAAACAAGCTAGCAATAATGGAGAGAATTTTACACCCTGCCATCAACTGGAAGCCAGTAGCTCATAACAGAAATTTCACAACTAATGATAATGTAATTGTTAAAACTTAATAATAATGAACTAGAATACATAAAGTGTGAGAAAGTGAGAAGGCAAAACAAGCTATGCAACTAAAATTAAAATATAAAATGCTATTATTAATCTAAGAAAAGACAAGCATGTAATCATTGTGAGGACATTAGACCCCAGTATCAACTAGAAGCTAATAGCACAAAAAAAGATTTAGCCACTTATGATTTAGTTGATAAAAGTTAAAGCTAATGAACTAGGATACACAAATGTGACAATGGAAGAAGATACTGAACTCTATGCATGTCAAAACATAGAGTAATAATATCACTGAAAATCATATCACAGACAAGATTAAATATATCGCAAACACTTATAGTTACCTGATGTCAGAAACAGAAAAATAAGTGTGATATGCGAATGTGAATGTAAACGGCTTCCCATCAGTATTCGTATTCCTGATACGAGATGTTAACATTAGATCTCCTCCAGGTCCTAAAGCTACCCTCAGGCGGAACTCATAACTGAGATAGAAGACAACCCATGAAGACAAGTTAATTGGTCAACAGAATAAGGTCACAAAGATTCTACTTGGAATCTCTTCATTAACAGATGTTGAGAGATATTATAAAAGAATTGCCTGTGAGGCCAAATCTTCATATCTTCTTCAGAAGGCCTAAGGATCAAATCAATGTGAGCTTTGCTGGATGAGTTTGTTGGAAAAGCAGGTGGATCAGTGTCAATGCTCCAGAATTTATTTCTAGCAAAACCATGTGACTCAAGAGGACCATGATTAGAAAACTGCGAAAATAGAGTATATTACCAGGATGATCATGGTTTAAACAAGCAAGGACAATAGAAGAGATGCACATACTTGAGGGAAGCATATTGGAATTCCTCCACGAATTGCTTTTGGAGGCTTGAATAATGCCTGCAGAACATATGTGTCTAGTACATTAGAAACAAGAAAGCACATATCCTCTAAACATTGTCTTCTTAAATGCTTGCATTTGTAAATGCAGGTGTTCACTTTTGTAAGAAACTATACATTAATGAGTTCTTGTTAAACAGTTCCACCTGTAAAATTCAAGTCATTTATCCTTTTATCCTTCATAAACAAAAACTTCTTCTACTCCCTTACCTTTTGTGACCGCTGAATGGAACGAAAATGTAATAGAAGCTATGTTTAACACAATAATTTATTGGCTGAGGAAAATTAAGTTACTAAACAGCTCTTTTTGCCTAAAATATCTAAACTATTTTGTTTCATAATAGCATGCAGAGTTTCAAAAAAAAAAAAATCATAAATTTCATTCAATTTCTTTGAACATATACGTATTATTTTAAACTTAATTTTCTGAACAGTGAATCTGTGGTTTCAAATGATTGTGACTACTTAAAAATCTGCTCTTCATGTTTCCAATTATGGTTCAGAACGCTTTCCAACCTAGAAAACAGATACTCCATCTAAGTTTTGTAATTGCTTACAGAATCAACAGAAGAATCGGGGATAGAAAAGGGCAACATGGGAAGCAAACCTGCTTCCATTAGAAATGATGAAATAGCTTAAATTACATAAATTAAGTAGCCTTTAGACACCCAACTCATAGAACCATTTTCACAGAAAATCTTGTATTCGCAAGCCATTCCATCATTCTGACATCTATGAATTAATAGAATAGAACTCATTGTTAAAAATTTGCTTTTGAAATATCAACTATATGACATTAAATACTGAATTAGAAAAATAAAATTGATAGTTCTAAATGAACCATCAATACAAAGGATTCCAACAAAATGTTCATACATTATACTCCTATTTAATATATGATCAAGAAAACTACTATCACCGAATAGCACCTTACTACTGACGAACAGCAACTCCTCTCCATGCTCATTCTTCCAAGATGTTACATGCCCGCCATACAAATAAACCTGAAAAACGCCTCCAGCAAAAAATAAAATAAAATAACGGATATCTGGATATAACAACCAAAACAAAAAAGAAAGATTCAAGAAACAGAAAATAAGAAAAACAAGTAAATTAAAAAAAAAAAAAAGAAAGAAAGAAGACTAGCGCAGATCAAATTGATCAGATCCTGAAACAAAATTTGAAAGTTTAAAAAAAAAAAAAAAAAAGCAAGCCTTATAAAATTACCTCGGCGGAGCTGCCATGTGTCTCGCGGAGGATGATTTTCTCAAGGCCGTTAACGCCCTTGGACAACTCAACGGGGACTTTCTCGCTCGACATCGAATTAAACTCACCAATGCTTTAAGATTTTATTTAATAAAAATGCCTGATTCCAAATCGGTCGTCCGAAATCAAAAATCAAATCAAATCTCTCGCTTAACCTTTTTCTATAGTACTTGAATTAATTAATTACTATAAGCAAATTTTCAGCTGTTTCAATCTCCTCCTTTACCCTTTTTCACTTTTTTCTCACTCTTTTTTCTTTTTGTCCTTTTTTAAACATTTTTCCCACAGATTTTACTGGATAAAGACTGAGCGTTGAATCTACAACGCCACTTTGGACTGCTAAAACGTTGTCCTAGAAAGCCCAAGAGGTGCCCAATAGAAGTTAAACGAAAGTGTTAAATGCCAGGCTTTTTGAATTGGCCCAATATCGTACTCTGCCGAACCAGCATGCCAAGCACAGCATACGAAGGCCAACTACGTTGCACACCCATCCTCTCATGCCAAGTAGGAAATTGGGATGCATGGAGCTTATATGAAATTGTCAGAGTTGAATTGTGTGTTTTCACTTCAAGAGCTTGAAAACATTATGATTGAAAGGCAAGTGCTTATATAATTGAGCTGTTTGGAGTTATTTGCATTAAATAATGTCGAATGCTGTAGGGGTCTTCTGTTTGGATGAACAGTTATTTATACAACTTGGGCTTTATATGATCATGCCACTTATCATTGCTTTCATTTCAACAATCGAATATGCCACGTCGATCAGTACCATTTTTGTCACTTGTTTAGAATACTTGAATTGCAGTTCTCATTGTTCAGGTTTGGTAGTTAATTCTCAGGCTCACATGGGGTTGATTTGCTCTTCCCTTTTTCTTGTAACTGATTCTGCCAAGTAAGATATTGATGGATCTATCAAGTGGGGGTGTTCATATGTTTGCCTACTCAGAGCTTCCCTTAGGTTTTATTTGCTAGGAAGGATGATAAGGAATAAGGATTAAAATTTTGTTAATTCAATGGTTAAAATTGATAATCACTTTCCTATTTTGTTGCTTAATCATTAGATAAAAAATTTTTTCATCCACATCTTTTTCTATCTTTCCTACCAAATAAACCCCTAGATCCAAACTTTTTGATAGCTGTAAATACTTTCTGTCACTCTACTAATTTCTTGCTAAACTTTGAGATAAAGGCAACAACGAATAATCATCAGCAAATGAATTTGAGATTATCATGGGTTGTTGTTAAGTTGTAAAAGCTCTCAACCACTTTGTAGCTTAGTAGTCTGCATAATTTGATTGAAATTAAATTAATTAATTGAAATGATTTAATTTGATTATTTATTTCATACCAAAAATATTTTTGTTCATTATTGAAATTTTTTTCAAATTTTGATTTTTGGATAATTTGATTTGGTTAGTTGAGAATAACTAAATTACCCAATATATACCTGAAACATTATATGAAACATTTTCAAGCACTTACAATTCTCTTTTCTTTATCCTCATGTTATGATATCCTTGTATTAAAAAAATACATTTTTAATTTATGATAAATGTCTTTAAGTTTTATGTTGAAGTTGGTAGCATAGAGATCTGATGATTCATATATTCGTATCGTATAAAATATTAAAAATTTATGTATTTGTATTATATTTTATACAAAAATTATGTCTTACAATTCATATCGATATGAATATGTAAAATATATCTTTTTTGTTTTGTTAAACTTATATATAGTTATTACTAAAATTTTAAGCCGTGTCACCTCATGTCCTATTTTCGTATCGTATTTATATCATATCACCATGTTGGGTTTTGAATTGCCAACTCTAGTGGCATATTATGGATGTACTTATTTACTCCACCTTGTATTTTAATATTTGTTGAATGATTAAGTTTATTTGAATTATGAACACTATGAATGTAGGATTTGAATCTAGGATTTGAAGTTATAATTTTAATTAACTGATATTAGAACTGTTGAACCTATTTGTTTTTTACAATACCAAAATTCTTTTTTTGATGTTGTTCTCTAATGAGTTTGCTCAAATGTTTCATGCTTAATCATTTATTATTTTCTAAAAAAAACCATTTGTTATTAATTGTTTAAAACAAGTTTATAAAGGTTTTAAGCTTAAACAAGGAGTTACAAAAAGCTAATCTAATAGATGAAGAGAATTTTGGAATGAAAATAAAGTGGCAATTCGTTGCCGTGACAACTACCCAAGGAAATTTTAAAAGTGATTGAATTATATAAAATATTATTCAAGAAATTATTTTGAAGTTCAATGAAGATGAAATTAATCTTGAAATGAAGCCTATAGTTTAATATGGAAGGGAATGATTGTTTAGATTACTTAAATAAAGATATATTGTTTTGGAAAAGCAAGTTGATTACTTAGAAAGGATAGAACAAATCTTGAAGCAATCCTATCAAGTGAATCTGATTGAAAATCATTTTTAAATGACTAAGTCAAGATATGAAACTAAGGTTTGAGTTTCGGAGAAGTGAAAAAAATTATAGTCTCATATCATAGAAGACTAGTTCACATATTGACCAATTCAAAATGACTTAGTTTAGAGATGCAATGACATTCCAAGCAAATAGCCAAGGAAGCGAGTTTTAGAGCTGACTTTCGAATGCTCAAAATATTTTTTTCACACATATTGTGAGATTGGTTAAGGGGTTCAAATTCCTATGCATGGCATCCAAATGCCCTTGATGGAAATGAGTTTTTAAGCTTAAAATAGGGTGGCATCCAAATACCCATGTTGAAAATTAATTTTGAGTGAAAATAGTTTATTGGCATTCGATTGCTCATTCCAAAGCATTTGAATTCTCTTTAGAAAGTGAGCACAAGATTCAATTTTGACTGGGCATCTGAATGCCTAATCTATGACATCTAAATGTTCTTGCTTGAAAATCCAAAAGTATATTCCATAACAATTATATTTTTTAAAATCTTTAAAATTCTTCCATTTCCAATGGGCAAACCATCTCTAAATTACTAAAATTTCATTCTCCAAGATAAAGAACAATAAAAAAATAAAAAATAAGCTATATCAAAGATCAAAGCATTCTATTCCAAAAAATCAAAAAATCTATCTTCAAGTTTTGAGCTTTTCATGTCTATATCTATGAGCAATTCAGTCTCACCCTTAACGCTTGTCTTAGTTTTGAGATCCAATATTTGATTAGGAGTCACCAATCAATTTATTTGTCCTTTGGGAATCAATGTTGGTTTAAGGTAACAGTTTTATCTTTACCAAAAAAAAAAAAAAACTTGGTTATGAGATATAAACAAGATATTGAGAAATCAAAGCTCTAAACCTTGTATGAAATAAATCCAACCTCTACTTATCACTCTAGACCAACACCTTAACTAGCTTAGGGACTAAAGAGCATGCCTCTTCTTTTTGTTCCTAGTAACAAGCAATGCATATAAATAGTTTATATATTCCATATTGTCACACATGCATCTAGAAAAATATGTCTAGGCTAATAGTCTCAAATAGTACCATTAATGGTGCATATTATCTTGCTATCAATCAAATTTATATAAACATAACAATTCATGTCACATATAGAGCAAGAAAGTGTAACAAATGGTATAATTAATAATGCAAATTATTATGTTATTAATCAAATTTATACAAACATAACAATTCATGCCATATATAAAGCAGGAAAGTGTAACTAGAGAAGCATGAAATGCATTATAATTTAAATAACATATTCTAATGATAGTTTATATAAACAAGGGCATATTTAGTACAAATTATTGCTTTTAATTAGTCTAAATGACAGGATAATGCATGATATACTTGATGTATATTTACATAAAAAATATCCACCACCTAAATAGTAAAGTAAATCCTATACTTGTCTATCTGGTATATTATTAAGTATTCCTAAGGCTACACGATGCATGATCATAGATAATATGTCAGCATGTTTATAAGTTAATGAAAGAGACCTAAAAATGCTTAAGTTTAAGAAATATACCTTAGTTGATTGCCTGATGCAAGATCTAAAGATATTAATAGATTTAAATGGAATGAACAAAGTCTAAACTGACATTAAAGCTTTTGGCCAATCAATGGCATCAGGTAATGATCAGTGACACGTTCAGTAATAGATCGATGGTTGGTGGGAGTGTTGATTGATTGTCATGGGCAGTTTTGGCTAATGAGACTAATCTCGAGTCTAACAGAGTTTCGAACCTTTTAATAGACTTGATGAGGGATTCAAAGTTTTTTGATTATTTTGAAAGCATTGGTAGGGAGATCTAGGAATTTAAAATGTGTTTGGGTAGTGTTTGAGTGAAAGTAAGCAACAAAGAATGGTATAAAAAAGTGGATTATCACTAGATGTCAATGATAGTTTCGACAATTCAATAGGTGAACTATTCTTGGTTTGAGAAATTTGGGAGTGATTGATAGGCTTTAGTTTAGTGTTGAAGCCATACATAATGTTTTAGGATGGTTGATACTAAAGAGTTGGTGAAAATAGAAGTAAGATGTGTGTTAAAAAGGTTAGCATTGATTAGCGATCATGGATAACAACTGGGCGAACCATGTTTTAAAATTTTTTGAGGTTTTGGCAATTTGTCAGGCAAATATTTAAAAAAAATTAAAGACTTTGGTTGAGATTGTAGCTTGCTTTTATAGCTATTGTAGACATCCAATTTGATCCAAGTTCGGATCAATTAAACCTAGTCCAAATAAGACAAAGTGACCCAAATTTTTTTATTTTTTTATTTTGGATTTATTTTAACTATTATTTTGAGAAATAATGATTAAAATTAAAAAGAATAATAGATAAAAAAAAAAAAAAGGTCCTGCCAATTGATGGCAGAATCATGGAAGGATCAAACTTCTTTGGGAAAGGCAGAAATTCAATCAAATGTGAGATTTAGAACTCATTTGGAACTCTTCTAATTCAGCCTATAAATATAGGCTTGAATAGAACAGAACGACACACACAAAAAGCAAAAATCAGAAACACAACAAGTAGAAAGCATAAAAAAATTTCAAAGATTTTTTGGTTTAAAGAAAAAAAAATGGGTTTTTTTGAAAAAATCTGGAAAAATCTCCAGATTCTAGAAAATTTCCAATTTCGGTTGAATTTTTTGACACCGATTGAATTTTTCAGTGACTTTTCTGGTGCCGTTTGAATTTTTCGATGAACAATTTTAGAATCCGGTGACGATTTTGGTGAAAGTTAAATTTTTCGATGATCGTTAGGTAACCCAACCTAGATTCCAACGATATTCCCCA